GGAGTCTGCTTGAGATTTTCTCTCTCCCTCTCCTGCCCTTCCCCCCTGCTTGTGCGCACTATAAATAAACAAACAAACACTTAAAAAAAAAAAGAGCAGATCTTTGTTAATTAGATACTTGCCCTGTCACCCAGATAAAATTTGTCTCTGGTAATATCCCATATTCTTTGAAAGACCCCCCAATTTAGATTCCTCTACATAGTTACAGAGGGGAGTATGTTTCTCTTGGGCCTCCAGGGTATCAATTGCCTTTATTCCCAAAGAATGTTCATGCCAAGGTATCCTATCTTGGGGCAGTGTACCCTTGGTCCCTACAAAACTTTGCTTTAATGTTGTCTCTGTATGTAGACCACTGTGTTATATAAACTCTTGGTCAGATAACCCTAGTTAAAACTTACTTTCTTCCATTTATGTGTGTCAAAATACTCTCATAAAAGAGAAACAAATTATCTTGGTGTTTTCTTTTTTGTTGTTTGTTTGAATTAACTTGTACAAATTGTTATGATGCTATCTAGTGACTAGTAAATGTTTAAAAGGGATTGTTGTTGGGGCGCCTGGGTGGCTCAGTCATTAAGCGTCTGCCTTAGGCTCAGGTCATGGTCCCAGGGTCCTGGGAGCCTGCTTCTCCCTCTCCCACTCCCCCTGCTTGTGTGCTCTCTCTCTCTCTCTCTGTCGAATAAATAAAATCTTTAAAGAAAAAATAAATTAAAAGGATTGTTGTTGCCATTCTTCATAGTCTAGTAGAGCCTATAATTGCCATGAAATCATTCCATTCGAACTCCTCAGTAACAGTATTTGGGGAAACCATTTTTCTAGAATTCCACAATGTACTCTCTTCTCTACTGAGGACAATACTAGATTGAAATGTAAAGAATTCAACAAAATTCATATTCCTATTTTTAAAATAAATGAGTTTTGGGGCACCAGGGTGGCTCAGTCGGTTAAGCATCTGCCTTCAGCTCAGGTCATGATCCCAGGGTCCTGGGATCGAGCCCCACATTGTGCTCCCTGTTTAGCGGAATCCTGCTTCTCCCTCTCCCACTCCCCCTGCTTGTGCTCTCTCTCTCTCTGTCAAATAAATAAATAAAATCTTTAAAAAAATAATAAAATAAAAATTAAAAAAATCTAAGCCAGACCTGTTCACCTCTTTGGAGTCAAGAAGGAACCCTAGGATGTGAAGAGAAAGGAGCCTTACATCCAGGTAGGTGGGAATGAGTAAAGCAGATGACGCAGGTGAATTGCAAAGGTCGAGCAAGAGACGACACCTTCAAATATGATTTGGGAAGCACTACTTAAAATAATTTTCTCAAAATGTATCTGAATTGTGGTATGATTAATACTCAAATGTTTTATATAGCAATGGTACTCAGCAAATTTTAAAGCAATCATGGTCTTTCTTTATTCAGCAATGTCTGTTGTGGTTGTTGCTTCTAAATGATGAATTATAGCCTTGGCATTCTGTGTCAGAGTTGGAATATCTCTTAATAACAAATTCTCGGGTGCCTGGGTGGCTCAGATAGTTAAGTGTCTGCCTTCGGCTCAGGTCATGATCTCAGGGTCCTGGGATCGAGTCCCACATCGGGCTCCCTGCTCTGCGGGGAGCCTGCTTCTCCCTCTGCCTCTCTCTCTCTCTCTCTGTCTCTCATGAATAAATAAATAAAATCTTTAATAAAAAAAAAAATAACAAATTCTCTGAGGTCATTGAAATGCTCCTCCATGAAATTTTTATTGGAGCATTTTATGATTGACTGTAATGAAACTTCTGAGCTATTTGTGACACATAAAACATGCTAGTACTTCAAATGCTTGCTTTTCTTTAGTGCACAGTCTCAGTTTATAATTATTGTTATATGGAAGGATCCTATTATAATAACATATCTGTTTTATTCAGAATTATTGCAGTTGACATTTATTCTTTTACAATTCAATAAGAAAGCTTCATTTTTAATAGTAGCTTCTACAGCATTAATGAATTGTGCTTTTCTTTTTTAATCTATGTTTTATAGTTTTTTTTTTTAAGATTTTATTTATTTATTTTATTTATTTACTTGACAGAGACACAGTGAGAGAGGGAACACAAGCAGGAGGAGCGGGAGATCATGACCCGAGCCAAAGGCAGACGCACAACGACTTGAGCCACCCAGGCGCCCCTCTTCTTGTTGTTTCTTTTGGGATGAATTCCTCTGTCTTGGCATTTTGTCTAGGTCTGTCTGTTGTGTGTTAGGAAAGCCTGTGCCTGGTCCTATTTCCACTAAAGTCGAAGCTTTGCAGCACTCCATGATCAGTAGACCTGGTGCTTGCGGGGTTTGTGCTGGTGTTCTAGGGGAGGGGAGCTGTTGCTGCTCTGGGGGCCTATCACACTGGCCCTATTTAAAAAAGGCACCTGCAGAGGGCACTGCACCGTGTGCACTGTGCCCCTTGTTGAAGTCTGTCCCTGCTGATGGGAGGGATGAAAAATGGCATTGGCCCACTCTCTTCCCCAGGAGGGGAGTTTGCACCTGCCACTGTTTAGGAAGCCCACATAAAGGAGCAAATAATCTCCCCTCTGTGTCCAAGGCTTCCGTCAGATCCCTGCCTTCACCCCATCTCTGTCCATGCTGTCTGCCTGCAGGGCAGCATGGAGCGGTACTCCTGTGTTTTATCTGAGGCACTCAGCTGGGTTTCAGAAGGAGAGGTTGACATAGTCTTTGAGACTTTAAGTCTAAAAAACTCCCCTACCCTCGGACACTCTAATAATCAACTTCCCTTCTTCCTCTTTGTATATGATAGGGAAAGGAATGCCCTTGGAGCTCTCCCCCAGAAACATGGGGACCATTTCCCCAGAGGGTATGATAGCCATCAACAGGACCCTGTGGCTTGGCAATGTCCCCCTGGCTTCAGAGCCATTCCTGCCACTGCCCCTTAGTTAAGACCACTGAAAAAATAGTCATGGGGTCCCCTTTAACAATGTTGTGCTCTCGAACTCCAGGAAATAGACGCTCGGATCATGTGACACGTGTAAAAAAGGGCCAAATCCTAACTGGACCTGCACACCATCTGGTGATCTGAAGGCCAAGATTTCCCAGAATTGGAACAGATAACATCTGGGGACACAGCTTCCCCAAGATTTCCAGACCAGGCTGGATACCTTTTCTCACTGTTGCTTCTTTTATCTCTTTTTTTTGGGGGGGGAAAGAAAATGCCTTTTATCTGCACTTCCCGATCTCTTGCAAAATCTTGAAACCTCTTTTGGTTATGACCTTTACAGAAACAGTCACATTATAATCCCGTCCACATTTCTGAAGGTTTAGAAGTTGCAGACTTCGGGGCGCCTGGGTGGCTCAGTTGGTTAAGCGACTGCCTTCGGCTCAGGTCATGATCCTGGAGTCCCGGGATCAAGTCCCGCATCGGGCTCCCTGCTCGGCAGGGAGTCTGCTTCTCCCTCTGACCCTCCTCCCTCTCATGCTCTCTCTCATTCTCTCTCTCTCAAATAAATAAAATCTTAAAAAAAAAAAAAATTGCAAAGGTTTATTTCTCTAAGTTCTGATATTCCTGTCTTATGAGTGTTTTCATAAGAAAACTTTTAAAATCTTTTAAGAGGGCACCTGGGTGGCTCATTCGGTTGAGCGGCTGCCTTCAGCTCAGGTCATGATCCTGGGGTCCTGGGATCGAGTTCTGCATCGGGATCCCTGCTCAGTGGGGAGTCTGCTTCTCCCTCTGCCCCCTCCCCCAGCTTGTGATTTCTTTCTCACACTCGCTCTCTCTCTCTCTCAAATAAATAAATAAAATCTTTTTAAAAAATCAAACACATTAGTTTATTTTAAAAAAATATTTTAAGAAATAATACTGGGGGCACCTGGGTGGCTCAGTGGGTTAAGCGTCTGCCTTTGGCTCAGGTTATGATCTCAAGGTCCTGGAATAGAGCCCTTCTCCCTCACCCTCTTCCTCCCCCCGCTCATGCACTCTCTCTCTCTCTCAAATAAATAAAATATTTTTAAAAAATGATACTGAAGGTTAGGTCTTTAGAATACTTCTTTGCTATATTCCAGAGCCTTTTCTCCATTTTCTCCAACCTAGCTTCCAAATAGGCATGAACAGTTGTCACTTTGAATTACTGTCCTGAAACTTTGAGAAATGTTCTCTCTTTCTTTTAAGATTTTATTTATTTGACACAGAGAGAGAGAGAGCACAATCAGGGAGAGCAGCAGAGGGAGAAGTAGGCCCCCCACTGAGCGGGAGCCTAGATAAATTCTAGGTCAGAGATCTTAGGTTAAAATCTAGTTTCTTACATTTACTGGAAGTGTAACAAAATCTTTTCTCTTTTTTTTAAAGATTTTTATTTATTATTTATTTGACAGAGAGAGACACAGCGAGAGAGGGAACACAAGCAGGGGGAGTGGGAGAGGAAGAAGCAGGCTTCCCGCGGAGCAGGGAGCCTGACGCGGGGCTCGATCCCACGACCCCAGGATCATGACCTGAGCTGAAGGCAGATGCTTAACGACTGAGCCACCCAGGCGCCCCAAAATATTTTCAAAAAAGAGGAAGAATAATATGTTTGGTTTTCTAGATTAATTTTCTGTGTTTTTTATTTTATGCGTGTGTGTTAATCTATAAAAACTGTTAGAATCTAGTAACTGCTAATGCTCAGAAAGTATTGTTGCCTTTCTTGCTTTTATAGTAGAAGCTGTAATAAACCCATTGATTTCCCATACTCTGAAAATTCTTCTCCTTGGAGTCCTACCTCTTTGTTATTCAAAAGTGTATCCTTTCATCCTTAGGCAAATACCTTGTTATAAATGAGACTCAGTTCCCATCCTAACTCCTGAATCAGAGCCTGCATTTTAACAAGATCTCCAAATCGCTGCTGTGAAATTCTAATGTGAGTAAGATATATTTTTGGGTGCCTGGGTGGCTCAGTTGGTTAAGCGACTGCCTTCGGCTCAGGTCATGATCCTGGAGTCCCTGGATCGAGTCCCGCATCGGGCTCCCTGCTCGGCAAGGAGTCTGCTTCTCCCTCTGACCCTCCCGACCCTCCCCCCTCTCGTGTGCTCTCTCTCTCAGTCTCTCTCTCTCAAATAAATAAATAAAATCGTTTTTAAAAAAATTAAGATATATTTTTAACCCACTCAAACTTTTCATTTAAGAAATATACACAACTTATACTCTATGATATAAATACAGTACTCAAACATGTGTATGCCTCTATTGAAACCTTCAGTTTCAACTTATCTTGGAGAAATACGGAGGATTTATAGTGGTTCTGTGGATCATATGCCACCTTGTTACCTAAAATTTAGAGAATAAATAGAAGTATATTACTCTGTTAAAAATTATCTTACTGGATAAAGCAGGACACTCACCTCAGCCAGAACCATTTGTCCTAACTCCTTCTTTTCACTTTGGGTAAAATTATGAACTCTGTCAATGGCCACTTGGTCACTGTGGTATTTATTGCAGGGACTGCTGACATTCAGGGATGTGGCCATCGAATTCTCTCAAGAGGAGCGAGGATGCCTGAACCACACTCAGAGGGAACTGTACAGGGATGTGATGTTAGAGAACTACGGACACCTCCTCTTCTTGGGTGAGGATAAGGTCCTGTAACTGAACTAACATGAGTTCACTCCATGGTGAGTTACAGGTAGAAGCTACACAATATGGAGGTCTCACTCAGTGGAAACTGTATTTGCAGCATATAAGGAGATCAAGGGAATAACTTCCAAAGCTGTGACTCCCCAAGCAAGGGTGAATGGGTTCCTTTTATTTAGGGTTAGGATGAGTATCTGAAAGGGGAGTTTTATCATCATACGTAGTGTTGGGCATAAGGTAGGCACACAAACACATGTGTACTTAGGAAACAAGCCTAAACATGTATCCCATGTTGTATTAATCAAACCAGGGCTCCTTCTCGGGTGGAAATTTTATTATAATGAACTACAGGTAAGTGTCTGACACTTCACGGTCCACCTCTTAGGTGTGAATCTATCCAGGAAGCTCAAACTGCTCTATGTTGGGCAGAGCTTTTGTCTTGTCCTAAAGATAAGAGTAGCATTCCTTAAATAAGAGGGAGGGTCAGTGGGGGTCTTACTGGTGACGGTTTTAGCCTCATTAACTTCATGGGGCATGGTTCCAAATCCACACTCAGGGTTTTGTTCCTTCCTTGAAGAATGTCTCTTGGAAGATTCTTTTTTGCATGAGTAGAATTCAGATCCCTGCAGTAAGAGAAAGAAGTAGGGATTTGTAGGTGTTGAGATAAAACTCTTCATGATGCTTCATCTTCAGTTTTAGCTACCCCTTCCTTAAGGTACCATCATCATTTACTGTAGATGAGTGATAATTCTAAATATTGAGTGACATTAAATGGTATTGCCCACATCTTGAATTCTAATTTCAATCCCTTGTTATTGTATCAGTAATACTTGGCTTAAGATCTGAAAGTTGGAAATCTCTCCTTTGTGTTCTAAAGGAGCTGTTGTGCAACAATGTTTGGGAAATCATTTTCTAGAATACTACGATGTCCTCTTTACTGAGTGCAAAACTGGATTGAAAATTAGAACCTCCAGCAATACTCATATTCTTTTTTTTTTTTTTAATATTTTATTTATTTACTTGACAGAGAGAGACACAGCGAGAGAGGGAACACAAGCAGAGGGAGCGGGAAAGGGAGAAGCAGGCTTCCCACTGAGCAGGAAGCCTGATGCGGGGCTCGATCCCAGGACCCTGGGATCATGACCTGAGCCGAAGGCAGACGCTTAACGACTGAGCCACTCAGGTGTCCCCATATTCTTTTTTTTTTTTAATAAACAGGTCTTGTTGTGTCAAAGCCAGACCTGGTCACCTTTTTGGAGCAAAAAAAGGAGCTCTGGGATGTGAAGAGAAAGGAGAGCATAGCCACACACCCAGGTAGGTGGAAATGAATGAAGCAGATAATGGAGGTGAGGCCCAACGTTCAAGGAGAAAGCCAGACAGACCTTTAAGTGTGATTTGCTCTCTTTGAATGGAAATAAGTTTGAGAAGCCTAGGTTTATTTCTTTTGCTGTCACAGAGGGACATCTGCTATCCAACATTATCAAGCTCTTACATACTCTAAGGATCCTCCTTCAGCTCCAGTGATGGTCCATCACATCCACAGGGAGGGCCCAGGGCCTCCCCTTGGTCTGTGAGGGCCACAGAGATCTCAGTGCTTTTCCCTTGTTCTTGGGGCCCCAGGGAAATCTGTGCATATTTTCTGAGGACCTGTATGAGAAGCTGTTTCTATTTATGCCTCATGTCCAAAGTGTGTGAGGGGAATGCTAGGCATATTGGGGTTTTTTGCAGAAATGCCAGGAACACTGGATACAGACCTCACATGTTTTCTCTTTTTGATTTCCAATCTTTGGGAGACTTAAAGCTTAATCATACAAAATTGAGACACATTGTTTTCATCCAAAAACAAACCACCTCCCTAAAATGAGAAATTCTAATGCTTCATTTCACTTCCAAATGTCCTTTTTATTGGGGTACCTGGGTGGCTCAGTCAGTTAAGTGTCTGCCTTTGGCTCAGGTCATGATCCCAGGGTCCTAGAATAGAGTCCCACGTCAGGCTCCCTGCTGGGGCGGAGGGGGCTGCTTCTCCCTCTGCCTCTGTCTCTCATGAATAAATAAATAAAATCTTTTTTTAAAAGTCCTTTTTATTTATACACAGTATCATTAGAAATTTTGTTTATATGCTCCAATCCACAATGATAAAAGAATTAATCCATTTACCTCATGAATTCTGAAATAAATTAAGGACATAAAGGAGGTTAAAACATTGCCCACCATTATAGTACAGTCTCACTTGTTACCTTATTTCTGAATAACTTGTGTCACTTTATAATTCTGTGTTGTTTAGTACAAAGAGATTCGAGACTGTGTCCCATATGTTTTTTACTTTTTGATTGGATCTATGTCAAACTTAGGTGACCTTTTAGATTGAAAAGTTTTGATAGGAAATTCTTGAATGTGTACATATTATGTAAGAAGTAATAGTAAGTATCTGTATTTATTAAAATATTTAGCTCACAAATTTAAATTTATTTTAGTAAAAAAGTTACTAGGTTTTTCATTCATGTCCCTCAACATGTAACTGAGTCTTGGTATAACTTAATCCCAAATATTTATTTTATTTAATGCTCAGCATTTTTACAACTTTCACTTCTTCCTTTATTTACAAATGAAGAGGTTTATTTGTTTGTTTGTGGGTTTGTTGTTTTTTTTTTATCCTTCTACAGGGTGACTTAAAGCCCTTATTATTGTGTTAAGAATGGGAACACTAAATTAATACCATAATAAATTTCTCCAGTGTCTTTTTTTTTTTTTATTTGCGAGAGAGAGAATGAGAGACAGAGAGCATGAGAGGGGAAGGATCAGAGGGAGAAGCAGACCTCCCGCTGAGCCAGGAGCCCGATGCGGGACTCGATCCCGGGACTCCAGGATCATGACCTGAGCCGAATGCAGTCGCCTAACCAACTGAGCCACCCAGATGCCCCTCCAGTGTCTTTTAAATGCTTAGTGAAAAACTGTTATTTCAAACTGTTGCCTTTACTGTGAAATGTTCCTGCCCTACAATACAGACTCATGATTTGAAAAGTTTGCTCTCTATGATTTCACAGTCATGGTTAAGACTTCTAGTTATATGGAAGAAATCTTTTTTAATAGTACATCTATGTTGTATTCAGAATTTAGATGATGAATTTTCTCTTGTTTTTCCATTTACAACTCTGTATCTCCAATTTTGGGTAGGATCCATGATATTAGTCAATCGTGTTTTAAATTTTTACAAATATATTATGATTTTGGATCAAAATTTTCTTTTTTTTTTTTGGTTTTATTTATTTATTTGACACAGAGAGAGACACAGCAAGAGAGGGAACACAAGCAGGGGGAGCGGGAGAGGGAGAAACAAGCTTCCCATGGAGCAGGGAGCCCGATGCGGGGCTCCATCCCAGGACCCTGGGATCATGACCTGAGCCGAAGGCAGACACTTAATGACTGAGCCACCCAGGTGCCCCTTGGATCAAAACTTTCAACTCACTATTTTTAAAGAGATCTGGGGTTTAATTCAAGTGTATATCCCAGCCATGTGTCTATTGCAAACAGAATTCTCTGTCATTATATCACTCCGACTCTGCTCATAACTTCTTTATTTCTATTCTTGGTTAATGGTCAATCATTACTTTATCCTGAATAGTCATGAAAATTAAATCTATTTCATCATCTATTTATTCTCTTTTCGTATTTTTTTTTAATTCTAATTGTGGTTAAAAAAATGGCATAAAAGGGGCGCTTGGGTGGCTCAGTCATTAAGCGTCTGCCTTCGGCTCAGGTCATGATCCCGGGGTCCTGGAATCAAGCCCCACATTGGGCTCCCTGCTCCGCAGGAAGCCTGCTTCTCTCTCTCTCCCACTCCCCCTGCTTGTGTTCCCTCTCTAGCTGTATCTCTCTCTGTCAAATAAATAAATAAAATCTTAAAAAAAAAAAAAAGGCATAAAATTTACCATCAAAGTATTGTGGACTGAACATTTCGAATTATTGTGTGAACAGTAATTACTTCACCTATCACATTACTGGGCAAACAAGTTCTGTTACTTTCTCTTCTTGCAAAAGTAAAACTTAATACCTGTTAAACAATCACTTTCTCATTTCCCTCTACCCTAAGTCCCTGGCAGGTACCGTTTTAATTTTTTATGAGTTTCAGTACCTTAGATTACTCACACAAGTGGATTCCTACAGAATCTGTCCCTTTGTGACTCATTTGTGTCACTTGATATAATGTCCTCAAGGTTTATCCAAGTTCTATTATGTCACAATATCTGTATCTTCTCAAGGCTCGAAAATGTTTCATGATGTGTATATGCTGCATGTTTTCTTTATCCCTTTAACTATGCATAGGTATTTAAGTTGATTGTACCTATTTTGGGCTCTTGTGTGTAAAGCTGAAATGGCTATAAATGTGCAAATATTAATTGAATTCTTTTCTAACTTTTTAAATTTTTTTTAAAGATCTTATTTGTCAGAGAAAGAGAGAGAGAGAGCACAAGCAGGGGGAGCGGCAGAGAGAGAAGCAGGCTCCCCGCTGAGCAAGGAGCCTGACGCGGGGCTCGATCCCAGGACCCTGAGATCACGACCTGAGCCGAAGGCAGACAGATGCTTAACCAACTGAGCCACGCAGGCACCCCAAGCCATCTTATTTTGTAAAAAAAAAAAAAAGCTTTTCTCACTTGTGGGATTTCTGAGTGTATCAAAGAAATTGCATGATTAAAACAGAGGTAAATGGTTGAAAGAATGATAAACTCAATGTCGGAATCCTGAGTTCTGCCAGTGGGAAGATTTCTAGATGTCAGGCTTCAGGCCTCTTCAGATGGAGTCCAGGCAGTGGCAATCTGACAGATTTTCCTGGTCTGCCGTTGAGCTTTCTGAGTGGTCCACAGAGCAAGAGGCAAGAAGATTGTGTAAACATGGGCCATTTGGGCAGTTTCTCTGAAGTTTACGTGGAGTCAACTAGCTTCAGTTTGTAGGAACAAAGGGAAGTTTTGGTCCTCAGTGAATCCAAGTCAAGGGAATGGGATAAAATTGGAAAACTTAGTTTGCAGAGTCATAGCCAGATACTAGAGGAAACCAGGAGAATTCAGGATCTAGCCAGTTTTATAGGCAAACAACATCACAATTGGAATCTAACATCCATAAAAGTTTGTTATGAAAATAGAATTTTTCTCTCTAAAATTAACCTCCTCTTTAACAAACATAGTGAATTGAGACTATTTGTAAAATAAGCCTAGTTTTATTTTTTTTTAAGATTTTATTTATTTATTTGACAGAGAGAGACACAGCAAGAGAGGGAACACAAGCAGAGGGAGTCGGAGAGGGAGAAGCAGGGTCCCTAAAGAGCAAGGAGCCTGATGCGGGGCTCGATCCCAGGACCCTGGGACCATGACCTGAGCTGAAGGCAGACGCTTAACGACTGAGCCACCCAGGCGCCCCAAAAAATAAGCCTAGTTTTAACAAGCTTGGCCTAATTATTTATATAAGTGCAGCATGAATAGTGACTGGCTATATAGGGTCTTTGAAATCTGCTTTGCTGGAACTCTTTATAAGGAATTTCAGACTGAACTTTTATTTAAGTGTTTTTGTTTGGTTGATTTGCTTGTTTTGTTTTTTGTAATCTTTACACCCAGTGTGGGCTCAAACTTATGACCCCAAGGTCAAGAGTCGGATGCTCTTCCAACTGAGCCACCCAGGTGCCCCTCAGAATGAATTTTTATTTTTTATTTTTTTATTCTTATGTTAATCCCCATACATTGCATCATTAGTTCTAGATGAAGTGTTCCATGATTCACTGTTTGTGCACAACACCCAGTGCTCCATGCAGAACGTGCCCTCCTCAATACCCACCACCAGGCTAACCCATCCTCCCACCCCCCTCCCCCCTCAGAATGAATTTTTAAAGCCTTGTGAGCTTAAGAAGCCAGGCCAAATACTTGCCATCAAATTCACCTGTAATACCTATAGATGTGGGTACTTCTTCTCTTCTTGAGTCCCCAAAGTATCTTCAGGTTCTTATGCCTGCCAGAAAGTGAACTTATTTAATCACCTGGTAAGGCTCTTGAAAACACTGCAAGCAAGGTACCATGCAGATTATTTCAAGGGGCTTTATTGGTTTCATAAAGGTGACCTTAGTTCCTTAAAGCTATCTGTTCACATCTGAGTCTATAACGCTCTCAAATATGACATTCCTATCAAAGCCTTGGTAGTATAACCAACATTTCCCATGATGATCCATTGCAAGGAGAAGAGATTCTTATTAGCCCAAAGGCTGATGGCTTGTTAGAAATGCAGACCCAGATCCCACTCCAGAACTCCTGAATCAGAATTGATTTTTTTTTTGAGTTGACATTTTTTTTTTAAAGATTTTATTTATTTATTTGAGAGAGAGAATGAGATAGAGAGAGCATGAGAGTGGGGAGGGTCAGAGGGAGAAGCAGACTCCCCGCTGAGCAGGGAGCCTGATGTGGAACTCGATCCCAGGACTCCAGAATCATGACCTGAGCCGAAGGTAGTCGCTTAACCAAATGAGCCACCCAGGGGCCCAGAGTTGACATTTTTAATAAGGTCTCCGATTCCCTGTTGTGAAATTGGATTTCACATTAGAATTTTATAAGTTCACTTCTAAACTATTAACATTTTGGGTGCCTGGGTGGCTCAGTCGTTAAGCGTCTGCCTTCGGCTCAGGTCATGATCCCAGGGTCCTGGGATCGAGCCCCGGATCGGGCTCCCTGCTCAGAGGGAGGCCTGCTTCTCCCTCTCCCACTCCCCCTGCTTGTGTTCCCTCTCTCACTGTGTCTCTCTCTGTCAAATAAATAAAATGTTTAAAAAATAAATAAATAAAAAATAAACTATCAACATTTCCTTCTAATAAATATACACAACTTTTACTGTATGACATAAATACTCTAAAATGTACATGCTTGGGTTGATACCATTATTTTATAATACATGTAGGAGAAACATACAGTATTTTTATTGTTTTGGGGGGTCATATGCCATCCTCTTACTTCAGAGCTAGAGAATACATTACAGCATATTACTGTGTTGAAAATGATCTTATTGGATAAAGTAGGGAAAACACCTAAGCCAGAAACAGTTCTCCTAATTTCATCTTCAGTAAATTTGAATCCTACCCATCACCACTTGGTCAATGTGTTACTTATTTCTGGGGCTGCTGACCTATAGGGATGTGATGTTAGTGACCTACGGACACCTACTCTTCGTGGGTGAGGATATCTTCCTTCCAGATTTCCCAAGCCACACTCAGGGTTTTGTTCCTTCCTTTAAAGAGTATGGCTTCAAAGATTCTTCTTTGCGTGACTGGAATTCAGATCCCTGCAGTAAGGGACATAAGTAAGGGTTTATAGGTGCAGAGAAAAAAATCTTCACGGTGTTTCATCTTTAGCTTCCCCTTCCTTCCTTAAGGTAACATCATCATTTACCGTAGATTAGTGGTAATTCTAAAAATGCAGTTGTATAGGGATCCCTGGGTGGCTCAGTCAGTTAGACGTCTGCCTCTGGCTCAGGTCATGATCCCAGGGTTACGGGATTGAGTCCTGCATGGGACTCCCTGCTCAGTGAGGAGCCTGCTTCTTCTTCTGCCTCTGCTGCCCCCTACTTGTTCTCTCTCTCTCTCTCTCTGTAAGATAAAAAAATAAAATCTTTTTAAAAAATGCAGTTGTATAAAATGATACTGCTCCCAACTTAAACTCCATTTCCCGCCCTTTGTTTTTGTTTCTATTATACTCGGAAGTGGAGCTCAAGATCTGAACTTTGGAAATCCCTCCTGTGTGTTCTAAAAGGGGCTGTAGAAAACAGTATTTTGGGAAATTTTCTAGAATTCTACAATGTCTTCTCTACTGAGGAGAATACTGGATTGAAAATTAGAGACTCGGGTGCCTGGGTGGCTCAGTTGGTTAAGCGACTGCCTTCGGCTCAGGTCATGATCCTGGAGTCCCTGGATCAAGTCCCGCATCGGCCTCCCTGCTCGGCAGGGAGTCTGCTTCTCCCTCTGACCCTCCCGACCCTCCCCCCCTCCTGCTCTCTCTCTCTCAGTCTCTCTCTCAAATAAATAAATAAAATCTTTAAAAAAAAAAAAAAAGAAAGAAAATTAGAGACTCTCCAGCAAAATTCATATTCATTCCTTTTTTTAATAAGTGGGGTCTTGGGGCACCTGGGTGGCTCAGTCCGTGATGCATCTGCATTTGGCTTGGGTCGTGATCCTGGGGTCCAGGGATCAAGCCCCACATGGGGCTCCCTGCTCAGTGGAGAGCCTGCTTATCCCTTTCCCCCCTGCTCGCACTCTCTCTCATTATCTCTCTCAAATGAATAAATAAAATCTTTATAAATAAGTAAGTAAGTAAGTCTTGCTATACCTAAGCCAGACCTGGTTGCCTTTTTGGAGTCGAAGAAGGAGGCTGGGATATTAAGAGAAAGGAGAGAGTAGCCTTACATCCAGGTTGGTGGGAATGAATGAAGCAGATGACAGATGTGAGGTCCAGAAGTCAAGGAGGAAGCCAGACCTTAAAACGTGGTTTGGGAAACTTTGTTGAATGAAAATAATTTTCTGTAAGATTAAGCTCATTTCCCTTGCTATCACATGGCGACAATCCCATCTAACACTCCCCATTCTCCTACATCCTCTAAGGATTCTCTTTCTGCTCCCTTGGTCTTCCATCATATTCACAGTAAGGGCCAAAGAACTTTCCATTGCCTGTGAGGGCCTGCATGATATATCTGTGTTTCCATTGCTTTTGGGGACCTGGAGAAATCTGTGCATATTTCTGAGGAATTTGTGTGAAGTCATTTTTAAAACTTCATTTTGCCTCATGACAGAAATATGTAAGGGGAGTGGTCAGAACATTACGTTCAGAAAAGTTGTAAACACTGGAGACAGATATCACGTATCTTCTACTTTATGATTTCCAATCTTATGGAGGCCTCAAACATCATCTTACAAAATCGCAGTCAGTAATTTCATCCGAGTACAAGGCACCTCCCTAAAATGAGAACATCTAATCCTGTATTTCACTTCAAAATTTCCTTTTTCTTGGGTGCCTGGGTAGCTCATTTGGTTAAGCAGCTACCTTCTGCTCAGGTCATGATTCCAGGGTGCTGGGATCGAGTCCTAGGGAGCCTGCTTCTCCCTCTGCTTGCTGCTCCCCGTTTGTGCTCTCTCTCTCAAATAAATAAAATCTTAAAAAAATAATAATAGGGCGCCTGGGTGGCTCAGTCGTTAAGCGTCTGCCTTCGGCTCAGGTCATGATCCCGGGGTCCTGGGATCGAGCCCCACATCCTGCTCCCTGCTCAGCGGGAAGCCTGCTTCTCTCTCTCCCACTCCCCCTGCTTGTGTTCCTGCTCTCGCTGTCTCTCTCTCTGTCAAATAAATAAAATCTTTAAAAACAACATTAATAATAATAAAACTACAGTTATACACATGGATCATTTTTAAAAAAAATATCTATAATTTATTCAGAAATTTGGGGGGTTAAAATTTCTCTCATTCTTATTTTACAATTCCATAACAATGCTTCCTTTTGTATGACAGTTTCCACAACATTAATTAATCGTGCTTTTATTTTTTATCTCTGTTCTGTTTGTGGATGACAGTTTTCAACTTAGTACATTTTAAGGCTGTGTAGGATTTACTTCAAATAGGAATCAGCCATCTGTCAATTGCCAATAAAATTACGTGGGTCTTTGTTTTGTATAAATATTACCCATACATTGTTGGTTCATGAATTATCATGTTTCTTTTCTCGGTTTAGTGGTCAGTGGCTGTTTTATCCTCCCTTGGTGAATTGTTAGAATTAAGGTCATCATCTATTTAAGGATGAATTTATATTCCCTTTGTGAGAGAAATGCCTCTCTGAATTGAAGGTAATGTTTTAAAACTCAATGTTGTATCAATTTTAGGTTTTATAGTTTACTCTTAATTGTGGTTGTAAACATATGCCATAAAATTTTCCATTTTAACCATTTTATTTATTTTTATTTTTTTAAGATTTTATTTTTGCGAGAGAGAGCGCACGAGTGGGGGAGAGGGGCAGAGGGGAAGCAGGCTCCCTGCTGAGCAAGGAGCTGGATGCAGGACTCGATCCCAGGACCCCAGGATCATGACCTGAGCCAAAACAGACGCTTAACCGACTGAGCCACCCAGGCGCCCCCATTTTAACCACTTTAATCTGTAGAGTGAAGTATATTTATGTTGTTGTAAAACCAACCTCTGGAATTTCTCATCTTGCAAAGCAGTAAATCAGTACCTCTTAAACAACCACGTCTGCATGTTTCTCTATTCTAAGCTCCAGCAACTATACTTTCCTCCTTTTTTTTTCTTCGTACCTTCCTTGCCCTCGCCTTTCCTTCCTTCCTTCCTTCCTTCTCTTTCACTACATTAGGTTATTCACGTAAGTGAAATCAGTGTTTCGTTCTCTGTGACTCATTTACTTCACTTAGCGTAATGTCATAGATACGGGAAACAGCGGCAAAAGAAAAAAATTTTTAATTTCCTTACTGCCTACAGCCCATTGACAAATCCTTGAAACAGGTATGATGAGGGAGCAGAAGGCTGGCTGAAGACAAAGCATAAGCGGACACCCTGCAACCTCCCCCCACACCCCACTCCTGGGTGGGACCTGTGTGACATTCTTCCAGGAAGTTCCCAACTATCTTAATGTTAATGCCTTACTAGAGGGGTAAACAACCTTCACTTGACAATGGCAAGGTCTCCTTGCCTGTGAGTCTTCTTTAATATACAAAAATCCTTTTGAAACTTCCATTTCCCTTACCTTCCCCAACCCCATAGTATATAATCAGCCACCCCACACAACCCGGGGGCAGCAGCTCTTTTTGCCCACGGGTCCTGTCCCTGTGCTTTAATAACCGCCATTTTACACCAAAGATGTCTCAAGAATTCTTTCTTAATCGTCAGCTCCGGACTCCACCCCACTGAACAGCACTTAACATTCTAAAACTTCATCAGGTAGCATGACCTTCTTCTGGGAGCTCAGCTGCTTCGATGTTAATACTTTGCTAAGGGCCAAAGACAATCTTTTTTTTTTTTTTTTTTTAAAGATTTTATTTATTTATTTGAGAGAATGAGAGAGAGCACAGGAGAGGGGGGAGGGCCAGAGGGAGAAGCAGGCTCACTGCCGAGCAGGGAGCCCGATGCGGGACTCGATCCCGGGACTCCAGGATCATGACCCGAGCCGAAGGCAGTCGCTTAACCAACTGAGCCACCCAGGCGCCCAGGCCAAAGACAATCTTACAATAACATTATCCCAACCTCCCAGGATCCTGTGAGTCTACGTTAACATATAAAAATTCCTTTGGAAACTTCCATTATCTTTACCCCCCAAATATGTTAGCAATCATCCTCCAGGAATATGGCCCACCAATATACATCTGAAGGGTCTCATGATCAAGGCCTTATTTATTATTTATTTTTTTAAGAGAGTGTGTGAAGGGGGGTGAGGAGCAGAGGGAGAGGAAGAGAGAGAATGTCAAGCCGACTCTGCAATCAGCATGGAGCCTGACTTGGAACTTGATCTCTTGACCCTGAAATCAAGAGTGTGATGCTTATCTGACTGAGCCACCCAGGCACCGCATTACTAAGGTTTGATTAGACAGTAACAAATGACCTTTTCCTAACTACAGCTAGACCCCTGAAGGTCCCAGAAACCTTGTTTCCATAATACCTTGGGGGCTGGTGCTGTCCCAAACCCCATCCCGACTTGAAAGCATAGAATCTATGCTTTAAGAATAGCATAAGAATCTATGCTAATCTAAGCGCAGCTCTATCTGCCCATCGGTCCTGTCCCGTGGTTTAATAAAACCACCTTTTTTGCACCAAAGACATCTCAAAAATTCTTTCTTGGCCATCGGCTCTGAACCTCAACATTTCTATGTCATCATCACATTTTAACCATGTTGTATCATGTGACAAGATGTTTCTTTTTTCAAAGCTGAATATTATCCCAGCAATTTGGAGACCATCTTTGAGATGTTACTCCACTGACCACCACTCATCTGTTTGCTGTTGGCCAGGGCGCAGGGAGGGGTGCAAGATCCCGTGGCTCCTGGGGTCCCAAACGGACCAGTTTTGGCCACTCACTGCTGACAAAATCCAAGGCAGAAAGACACATTGGCGGGGGGGTGGGTAGACAAGAGAGGAAGTTCTTTCAGGGAGGCCCACACCGGGAAGACAGCCAGGTAATGTCTCAAAGACTGTCTCCAAAGTGCTGGAAATATTTCCAGGTTTATATAAGAAAAATGGGGGGGGGGCAAAAGTGAGGGGGTACCTGCAGGCAGGCAGCCAAGGTCAAATCTGTCCTTGTCTGGGAGTCCATCGGGGGTGGGGTCTTTCTGGCTCGGGGCGGTCCCGGTTGCTTGACCAGTAGCTTCAGTTCCCTTCAGGGGATGCTTTGCCCTCAGGGTCTTCCTGCTGAGCCAGGAGACAAGCTGGAAGGAACCCAGCGGGAAAGTCTGAGGTCAAACCTGAGGCAGCCAAGGTCGTCTTTCTTGCCTTTGGATTTTGTCAGCCGTGAGTGGCTGAACTAGGTGTGGGACCACTGGAGCCAGGTGTTCTTGCACCCTTGGGTCCTGGTTACAAAATAATTATGGCAGTCAATGGAATAGGATGTGGGAAACAAAGGTAGAAGAAAAATTACTAAATTTCCTTACTACCTACAGCCCACTGACGAGTCCATGAAATAGACTGACATTTCCCTAGGGACTCAACTGCCTCAACGTTGACACTTTGCTGAGGGCAAAAGGCAATCCTAGCCCAACCCCACCCCAGGATTCTCTTAAGTCTACTTTAACATATAAAAATTCTTTTGGAGACTTCCTTTATCTCTAAACCCCCAAGACACACGTTGGCAATCATCCCCCAAGCATATAAC